GAATAAAATCAACTCATGAATACACTGCTCTATTTGATTTGCTAATATTTTGTTTATAACTTTTTTCACATGTGTTCATGAAAGAGGTTGTCATGATTTAATTTTTTTGGCAATATTATTGCCAAATTTTAGTGCTAAGTTTTTGTGAGCCTCATAAAAAAGAGTAAGATATGTTTCCTTTTCTTTTTTTCATCTTCTGGAAAAAAGTAAGATTGGCATTATTTCTTCCTAAATATTTGGAAATTAAATTCAACTAGAGGATATTTGTGGAAAATTTTGAATGAATTTTTAAAGTACAGAATTACTCAAATACCTCCATGTTGTTTTGAAAACTTAAATATTGTATTTCAAGGAATTTGTGTATCTTGCCTTACTTGTATAAAGTCATTAACAATATTCATTATCTTTTTAATATCAGTAAGACCCATAGTGATATCTTTATTTTTGTTTCTGCTATTGGTGGTGTTTCTTTTGCGATTTAATCAGCCCTATGGGTGGTTAGCAATTTTATTATTCAAAAACAACAAAAAACTCCACAACTTTATGCTTTGTTGAATTTCTCTTTAATGTTTTTGCTTTCTATTTCATTGATTTTTGCTCTTATGTTAATTATTGTACTTACTCTATTTGTGTTTAATGTGATGTTCATTTTACTAGCTTCTTGAGATAAAAACTTAGATGTTGATTCTTATTCCTTTTTCTTTTCTAATATAAGATTTTAAAGCTATAAATATATCTCTAGCAAACACTACTTAAATTGCATTCACACAGTTTGGATATCCTGCATTGCTTTTCAGTGTATGAGGTTGCTATATTTCCATTGGGACTTCTTTTACTATTGCATTATTGTAATGTAAATTGTTCAATTTTCAACAGTTGGAGATTTTCTAGTTATTTGTTATTATTTTATATTTTAATTCAATAGTGGTCAATGGCCTATTCTTTGTATTTTCAATTATTTGAAATCGGGTAAGATTAGTTTTTAGCTACATACTCAATATATATTTAAAGGTAATATGCATTTTATCATAATTGTATGTGATGTTCAATTTATGCCAATAAGTCAATTTTGTTCTTCAGATCTTGTATATTTCTGCAATCCAATTTTTTCTTGTAATTTTTCTATCAACTATGAGTAGTGGTGAGGTAAATTTTCTCATATACCTTTGGAATTTTTTTCTCTCATATACCTTTTAGAATTTTATCTGTCAGCATTTGTTTTATCTATCTATCTATCTATCTATCATCCCTTCAGGAAAAGAAAAATTTGTATAAATATTTTAATATTAATTTTTTGAGATATCATGATACTAATACAAGTTACCTTTTGCCTCTGCAATTACAAGAGCTGCTCAAAGCGGTGGCCATTAGCTTCCAGAAATTTATTAGTATGACAAACTTTTGCTTGGGTAACCTTGGTCATTGAGATTCCTGTCTATGCATTTTCAATTTTTCTCTAAGGGCCAGCAGTGTAGTGTGTTTTTTGCAATATACAACATTCTCTAGGGTCCCACAAATGCAGGTAACACCATCTGTTGAAAAAACATTATATCATTTTTCTTTTTCTGAAGTGTGTATGCATTTTTTTATTCTCTCTCCCTCTCATTTTCCCTCTCCCTCTCCTCCCTCTCTAGAGAGATATAGATAGATACATATATATGTATATATACATATATATGTTGTTATTGGGTGTATACAATTTTATAATTGTATATGCTATTGGTTGGCCGATTATCACTTTAAAACATTCTTCTTTTTCTCTAGAATTCTTCTCATCTTAAAATCACGTTTGTCTTGTAATCAGGTAATATCCAATTTTCTTTTGAATAACACTTTATAATATTTCTTTCTTACTTCTCTTTACAGTCACTCCTTCTGAGTTCTTATATTTAGGGTAGACCTCTAATAAGTAGCATAGTTGTGTTTTATTTTTAATCTGTTAATCAGGATATTTGATGTCCTTATAATTAATGTAATTACTTATGGGATGTTGAAAAATATTAGTATACTATTTGTTTTTTCTGTAAACCAGTTGCTTTAGATTTTTATGTTGTTTCTTTCTTTTCTTCAGGAGTAATCAATTATGTTTTACTATTCTATTTTTCCTCTGTTACTTTGTTAATTTTGCATTCTTTGTCTTTTTGGGGGGATTTGCCATAGTCATTAAAATACACATTAGTGAGTATAAGTTATTGGTGTTTCAATGCCCAGGCAATACAAGGACCTTAGAATAGTTTTCCTCCATTTGTCTTACATCTATCTTTTCTGTTATGATGTATTTTAATTCTGTATTCATTGTAAACTTCTAAGACATTAGCATTTAGTAGAATTTTTTTTTTTTTTTTTGTACCAGGGATCAAACTCGGGACCTTGCGCTTGAATGGCAAGCTAAATCCCCGGCCCCATTAGTAGCATTTTTTATTTAACATCATATTCACTTATATTTATATGTATACTTATTTTTGTATTCTTTTCCTCAATCTTTTGTTTAATAATTTTTCTACTATCTAAAGATGGCTCTATGTTTGTTGATTTTTTAAAAAAATTAACTCTGACAGCAATAGATTATTTCAAAATTCATTTACCTCTAAAAAACCTATTTTCTTTTAAATTTTGGAGAATACTTTCTCTGGGAATACTATTCATATCAAGCACTTAGTATACTATTTGGTTATCTTCTGGTTTTACTATTTCTTTTACATATGTATTTTGATATTAATGCTTTCTAAAGGGAATGTTTCTATTTCTACACTTTGACAACTTTATTTTTCTTTTAGATTTAAGCAGTCACTGTACAATTTGCATATTTTTCCTCAGGTTTGCCAGAACTTTTTAACACTATGATTGCTATTCCCTGTCATGTTTTTGAAAATGTGTGGCCATTACATATTTAAATAATTTGATATCCAATCTTTCTTTATGCTTTTCTTAAGTTTCTCAATGACATACATATTAGATCTTTTCACTATATCTTAAATATTTCTCAGGCTTTTCTGTATTTTGTGAGTTTTTTTCTGTGCCACAATTTTCTTTTTTTAATGAGTACATGCTTGCAGTACCTAATGATTACTTTCACCAAAGGGGATTGAAACATGAAATGTGTTATGTGTTATGTGCCTCAGTTTTCTTTATTTCCTGGATTAATTTTGCAGTTTATATTATTTTTATTCTGTGTATTGTCTATTATATCCATCTTTAGACTTCCTAATTTTAATTATTTTCTTCAGTTCTAGAGTTTTATTTATTTTTACATGTTCTAATTGCTGATGAAATCCTCAATATTTTCATGTATTCTCTCCATCCTTCTATTGTGCTCATTTTAGTCATATTTTGTGGAAGTTATTGACTATTAATTTCTAAGATAATTATCATGTCTTATTTTTCCTTTTAATCAATTTTAATCCTGTTTTTTAAATTCATGGGAATCTTGTCTTTTTGCACCTACGTAGCATCTCTGTGTGATAATATGTTTCTATAAAGAGAGTTCATTTCTTTTTTCCTTTTGATGGTTTGGTTGTTTTTTTCTTTTTTGTGAGTAGATAATGCATTTCTTTCATTTTTTTTTTCTTTTTTGCCTAGGAGATATATCTACCATATATCTGGTAGTGATAGAATAGAACATTTCAAACATTGTTAGTGCCAAAGAAAACTAAACTGTGTTAGGAAAACAGAAAAATATAATAAAAACAACAGAAGAAGTGGAGAAATTATTTATACGTTTAGGTATTTCTATATTTATAACTCAGTACACATTTTAAAAGATTTACAAATATATTTAGAACATTATGGTATAATAAAGACATCAAAATCAAACAAAAGGAAAATTTAGGCTAAATAATAATATAAAAAATAAAGTTAGTTCAAAAACAAGCAGAGGATATTTTGTTACAAGGTTTTGTGGATAAACTGGCATCTGCTTTTTGATCTTCCTATCAGCTAAGAGGAAGGAGAAACACAATTAATTGTAATAACAAGCAGTGTCTGACAGATAAACCAGTTAATTAAGACCAACATTATTTTTTGGAGACCAACAAGAAACTTCTATCTTTTTTCACAGGAAACCTTATACAAATCCCTAAAATTTTAAGTAATTAAAAAAATATACAATGTACCTGCTCAGGTAGGAGGAACTTGGTATGACATTCTTGGTAAGGAAAAATTTTAGAATGAAGAAGTACAAAACATGGAAAGAACAACTTTCAGTTTAGATACTGGTACACATATCAATTCAGTCATTAACCTATGAGGCTGAGCAAATTACTGACTCTTTCAAATCTTTTTCCTCAGCTTTGAAATTCTCCTCCTTCCTTCTAGGATTATGAAGCTTAAGTCAATCTTAAAAAGCACATACGTAAAGCACTTGGTACTTAGAATGTACTAAGAAAATACTGATATTCTTCATATTCTGCTTTTGATGATTCATGTTTCTAAGATCTTCTCAGGTTGATTTCATTACTTCAATAGATTTGTATATTAATTATTTTATACATACCTGTCTTTTGTGAACCAATTTCTATGAACTAATAAATAAATAATGAAGTTCCTGGCACATGTTAGGTGTTCTGACAGGCACTGTACTAGGTGTTGGTGTAGACTTCTGATTATCAATTTCCCTTTTTGTATCTGTGGTAATATTTTCTCTTCCATATACTGTGTTAAGAACTGACATCCTTTTTTATTTACTTGCATTTTCTTCAATTTGTCTCTTTTAATGGTGTTTTGAAAGGCTCTATTCAAATTTATCTACCATTGTTTTTTCTCATTTATAAATTATTAATCTACAATTGTATCTTTATTAATTCTTCCATGCCTTTCTATACTCATTTAAAAGATTTGTAGCTTCTGTACTGGCATGATTAATTCATTTATTTTCTTTCTTTCTCATTTGATGTAAAGCCATAAAAGCATTAAATTTTCTTATGATTATAGTTTTGGTAGCATCTCACCAGTTTTAAACTCTCTGTAATTACAATTTTGATTTTATCTTTTCTCTGAATTAGGAGAAAATTTTTCTTCTAGTAGCCATAGCCTCTTGTTACAGCAGCATCCCCAAGTTTGTCATCGTCTTCTGACAAGGTTATACAGTTTCAGCTGAGTACATTACCACCAATCTATGGAGGACCATTCTTCAGCCTCCCATGTTGGTGAGTGTTGCCATCGCACTAAATTCCAGGAAAATAGGTGCCTGAAAATGGTTGGATGATAAAGTGATGGCAACCATTACTCTGAAGGGAAAAGCATGCATCTTCCTCTTAGTGCCTGAAATGCTGACACGAAGAGACGAACTGGAGCAGCGACATTGGACCCCAAGGTGGTAACAGGAACTGAAAGTCTTTCATAGCAAATAGAAGAAGTCTGGGTTTCTGACACCATTGAGCTGCCCTGCATAGTCTAATGATTATGAAAGAGTTGTTTGAGAGAGAGCAGTGAACTTCTATCTTTCTAAGGCGCGTTATTTTGAGACCCTGCATCAGCAGCTGCAATTATATCATAGCTAATAATGATAATAATTCCTAGTTTATTGTAATGTTATCAAAAAATATAGAATATATATCCTATTTGTATTTCTAAGAATACATTGATATATTTTAGTTGTCTAATAAATGCTCAAATTCTATAAGCATTTCCTGTATTATTAGTTTTTAATTATATAATTATATATATGTTCTGAATATATTTATATATCATTCAATCTAACTAATTAGTCATATTGCCATTCTTCACATTATGTGCAATAAAACACTACTTCTATGGAATATTAATAGGTTCATCTCAAAACAAAAAATTCAATGGTCCCTCAATCCTCTGCTTCCTGTTTTTATTGTTGTTAATAACACAGACTCTGAACCAGATTGTTTGAATCCTAGATCTGGCAATTTACTGGTTGTGTGAATCAAAGCAAGTCATATAATTTGCTTTTTGACTGTTTCTGTATCAGTAAAGTAGAGTAAATATCAGTATCCAGCTCATGGGATTAGGAGAATTTTATAATGAATACACACTAAACAATTACAATAGTGGTTCACAGAAAGTAATCATTTTTAAACAGTGCATAGTCTTTTATTGCATATGAGACTCTGAGAAATAATCAAGGATTAGAATTTATATTATATAGTGTTTTCTAGCTATTTCCCAAATTTATTTGAGTGGGTATATCGTGGTCATAGTCGCTATATATCATATATATATATATATATATATATACGATTTTGAAAATGTTGCACTAGGTTACTCAGATCCTCTGCATACTGAGAATTCTTCATTTTAACAGGATATGAAAATGCCACCTAGGAGGTATTTAAGTTCCTTGAAATGTATAAGTGTTTTGTGTGTATATTTATGGGTACTTCTATATGGGGGGGGAATCCATGAAATTCATCAGATTTTCATATTTTTCCTTATGTATTTTTACGTTTAACTGAAATATCAGATACTAATAGTGTGCAGTAAAAGTCTCCAGATATTTCATTGTTCTGTTCCTGGTGTATTTGCTTAAGTTTTTCCTGTACATCATCAAGTTTTATAGTGTCAATAAATTTTCATTCCTGTAACAATTTTAATTTACTTACAAGCTTTTAAAAAATTTTAAAGGAAAAAAAACGCTATTTCATCTGAAAATTGTCTCCCACATAACTTGTGCTGTTTTACAGAAACCAATGCTCTGGTGTGCTTTTGTAAATGTTAATTGATTTTTAATATTTCCTTCTGGTTCTGCAGCACATTCTTTTCAGAAGCAAAGCCATTCTACTAAGCTCACAAACTGCTGTTGCCTTTCCAGTGTGTTGCTATTTCACATTGCTTTTTTGTGTTATTTTAGGTTTGGCCTTCATTTTATTCATTTTCCTCATTTTTAAAGAAGACAATATTTAATCACACTTCACGTGTATCAGCTTAGATGAAAAGCAAATTTCAGCACTTTTTGAACAGTGATTTTGGATAAAGTTTTCTATGTAAATTTGATAGGGAAGATACTGTAAATATTTTTCATATATTTCACAATTTCTATCAGAATTTGTCAGTAATAATTCCACTTTTTATTTTGAGAGTATCATTGTATATCTATTACCGATACTCTGATACTGTAAAATAAAGCAAATATATTTGTACAAAATATGATAGATCAGAATGCATAATTGCCAGCATTTTTCTGGATTCCATGACTGTCTTTTCAGCATTTCTTAGGGATTTAACACCTCCAAGAACCACTAAACTATCTCTAGGAGCTCCTCTCATTTGCTCCTAGTCACTTTCTTAGATCTGATATTTCTACCTGAATATAGAAAAAATGTACATAGAAGAAAATGAAACCATATTTAGCCCAATTCAACTTAGGAGGAGTAGAAAATGCCAAGTGATCTTTTTCTTAATAAAATAACTATTAGGTGTAGATTTCAATGCATAAATTTTTTACAAGATACCACCTTATTTTTCACATCAATAGTTCCAATTCCCCATAGTATATAAACAATTACCCTATTCTCCAAAATGATTCTATTTTATTCCTGTATTTAAAACCTTATCTTGTTTCTTGAAGTAATCCACACCTCTGAAGTTGTGAAATATTCCCAAAACCTTTATGGTATATTGTGAAGAGTGAGATATTTAAAAGCAGTCTCTGATTTCAAAACATATTTGAGTATTCCATTTGCTCAAGTCTTCGTTTCTTTACTTCTAATATAATATAATCATATCTTTCTTAGCAATACCAACTAAAGTTCATGATAACTAAATGGAACCACATAATATTCTGATGTTATTAACAAAAAAACCAAATATCAAAATTTGCAGAGTAGTATATCAAAACAGTGGCTAAAGTTCAGTTAAAGCACTGGATAATTTTTATAACAAATGAAATGTCTCAAACATGTTTCACAATGGAAATATAGGGAGAAAATAGAGGTATAATTTAAACTCAAGGTGAGTAGAAGAAAGGAAATATAGAAGAGTAGAAATTAATGACATGGGAATCAGAAAATCAATAAAAGAAAACCACCAAAACCCAAAGCTGATCTTTTCATAGAATCAATAAAATTGATAGGCCTCTTGTTAAATTGATTCAGAAAAAAATGAATTACCAATGTCAGAAATGAATGGAAAGTTATCATAGATCCTATAGACATTAAAATAATAATATGAGAACATTATGGATGAGACTGGCCAACAGTTTTGATAAATTCAATGAAATGGGCAATTGCTCTCAAAGACAAAAACTCCCAATCCTCATTCTAAAGAAAATGATAACCCAAATAACTCTGTATTTGTTAAATAATTGAATTCATCATCTCACTTATGAATTGTACCAAATATTCAAGAAGTAAATAATTCTAATCTTACATAAACTCCTCCAGAAAGTAGAGAGAGGCTAAGATGACATTTCAGCCCAATTTGGCTGGCATTACTCTGATAATCATAACATAGTAACATGCCAGGAAAGAAAATTTGAGACAATATTAATCATAAATATAGAAGTAAAAATCCGTAACAATCATAGTTGCTAATAGCTTCACTTATTTTATCTGTTCTAATATGCATTTGTTTACACAGTATTTTTCCTCTTGCTTTCCATTCATTCTTTCATTTCCTACTTCACTCATCCATCATCTAGATTCACATAACTCTTTCCAATTTGTCTCCACACTTTTCCTTCATTCTTTTCACTGGCCTCCATCAAAGCCCCCTTCCTAAAACCCACCATCTCATCATGTTACTCCAGGGTTTGAGATTTTTGCTATTTTTTCAGGCTCGTTTAATATCACTAGGACTCTACCCCAACATTTAAAACTCTTCAATACTCTAGTCAGCCTGAAGTTTTAGACTTTCATGGCACTATATACATTGTGTACTCAGGGCAATTCCATTGTCTTGTTCTATTTTTCCAATATTAGCCTTTTGACCATATTAATTCTTTTACATGAAGTGTTGCCCTTTTAATATACTGCTTTCCCCTGATTTTAATCTCTTTACCTTGATGCTTCCACACTACTTTGTTTTTTCATGTATCATACTTCAACGTATGTCATGCTGAAATAAGGACATTTATTGTTAACTACACATATATAGGAACAAAGAAGAAGACACCACGTCTTAATGTCTTCTATGATAGTTTCCTCTCTTTCTAATAAGTCTGTACAACTTCAGAAATTATGTTTATAGTCCTCTGTCTTTTCATTTTCTAACATGGTATATTATATATACATAAATGTTGTCAATCTTTGTTGATGATAGGATTAGGTAAGTTTACTGGTATAGTTGAATAAAGCCTGGTCTGCTTGCCCTTTATTTCACAGGTAACCTTCATTTAAAAATATTTGAACTTATTTCTCTGACTGTTTAGTAGCATCTTCTAAATTGAAACTAAATCATCACCTTAAAATGTATGGGATTTTTTACATTTCTGATTCTGTATTTTAACTGCCCAAGGAATAATAAAAGTATTTTTACACTTTTGGTTAGTTCGCAGTTATCCTTACTTAAATCCTTATTAGCAGGGCATGTTGGTAAATGTCTATTATCCCCACACTAGGGAGGCTGAGGCAGGAGGATCGCTGCGAGTTCGAGGCCAGCCTGGGCTACACAGTGAGTTCAGGGCCAGCCTGAACTATATCACGAGATCTGGTCTCTAAAAAACAAAACAAAACAAAAAAATCCTTATTCATTTTTGATCATCTTTATCCCCTCCCAATGTCAAGTTTGCTGGTATGCAGTAAAAGAACTTCCTCAATGCATATAGCTGTAAAACTGATTTTGAGTATTGAAAATATTCTGTCATCTTATATACACACAACTTTGGACCCTGAAATTTCCACCCAGCTATTAGAACTATTACTTACTTACTCATTTTTTGTAAACTATGTGCAACACTAATTCAAATACATAATCATTCATATACATGGAGACACTCATCTCAGCATAACTTCTTAGGCTGATCCAAACTCTTTACCTTCAATTTAAGTGTAAACATATGTTGGGAAACATTCTTCTAAATATTTCATGTAGTATTTAGGTACTTTCTCCCTTTCCTTTATTACTGAGGTTTTTATTCAGAAAAACGTAGGCTCAAGAGGCACTATAAAAGTCAAAATATTTCATACATAATACAATATCTAATACGTCATATAAATTAGATTCTATTTTTATACTAGGACAGGAAATGTTGAATCAAATGTAAAAAATCACAAAAACATTTCATAAAATCACCACAGTGCCATTACACTTTATGTTTTGTGTCTAATCCGTAAGATAAAAAATTTTATTAAGTTAAAGAAGTATGCATAATAAACTTATAATTATTGGACAGATATGTACTAACTCATTAAAAACATTTATTAAGTACTTTCTATGTGCTAAGCATTATGCAGCAGAAAATGAGCATTTTCTTAGCAAAAGATACCAACAAATTCAGTTGTAACTTTAAAGAGAGTACTTTGCCCAGAAAATGTAATCAATAATTTGTCTCTCAACCTCAGAACAATTAAGTTGTCCCTGTTTCTAAATACCCAACTGGAGAGTTTCTCACTTTTCTACATCTCTATTGTATTATGAATAATGTTTCTAGCTCGCTAATTTTGCTGCTAATCAACACTTAAAAGAGATTCCTTATACTTTCAGATATGCTTTGAAAAAAACCCTCCCAATATACACACAAGGGAATTATAAGTTCATTAGTATACAGTTTTTTAAATCTTAGATTCATGGTTCATTATGTTACCTTACAGATTAAAAATATAATTTTACACTTAGATGACAGTAAAAAGAATTAGAATTAACATCTGATTATGAGTTTTAATTTTGAAATTAATTGGCAGGCATCTCTAGTTTAAATATCTCAAATCAAAAACTACCTTTAATATTTTATCACAAACAATACTTAAAAGCCAAATTATATCCATTTAGGGTAATGCTTTCCAAAAAACATGTAGCATTTCAGGATTTTAAAAGAAGATTTATATTTTATAATGTAGAATTTAAAGTAGATAAACTTAAAAATACCTGCAGACTTTGCATTTTAGAAATTCTTGCTTTGCTTAGTATTTAATTTTTTATTCAGTTATCATTTATGGTTACATATTTCAATAGGAAATGAATTGCCTGTGATATCTTATACTGTCATCAATTACAGGAGCACAGACCATATACACTGAGGGTACAGAAAATGTTTCTTGGTAATACATGCCATGAAAACTTAAAATAGCATTGAGAACAATCCAGGAAATTTAACTGCATACTCAGGCCTCTAAAGCACTTTTATCTAATTTGGAAATGCTCCAACCAACTTCTACACAGTTCCAAAGAATAAAATATGCTGGGCTTTTGTCTTTGAGGGGTTTGTTTGTTTGTTTTGAGGCAGGGTCTCGCCATGTAGTTCAGGCTGGCATTAATTAAACACACTGTGTAACCCAGGCTGGCCTCAAATTTATGGCAATTCTCCTGCCTCAGCCTCTCGAGTGCTGGGATTACAGGTGTACATCACCATGCCCGGCTGAATATACAGATTTTATGAGAGGAGAAATCCTAACCCAGCTCATCTTCCTAGGAATATGAATTCTATAACTATATGGACCCACTTTTTGGCACTCATTGGCTCTGTTTACTGGGCACATTGTCCATGAAATATTGTCTGTATACAAATATTATGCTTGCAAATATTATAAAGGTAATAAATTCCAACAAAGTATGTGTCTTTTAATTTCTGTGATTCTATGCAATAATTATATGAAATACATTGATAAGAGATACTCTAAGAGAATTTGGGGTCTAAAATGAGAATTGGGACAGATTTTTTCATTTCCTTTTTCATCTTGACTCAATATTTATTCAGCACCTAGCTGAATTTTTGGTTAAATTTCTTTTCTCATCACAAGGAAACATTTTAATGCATAAAGTACTCTTGTTCAATGTTCATTCAAAATATGAGAAAATATTTCCAGAATAATAAATTGAGGAAAGCCTATGTATACATATACATACACAAAAATTTCTAAGGAAAATCAGTATAAACAGAATTTTTCCAGAGTAACACTGACTTTGAATGCAAAAAAAATACATCTTTTTTATTTAATGAAAGAGCTCGGATAAGCATCAAAGTTATACAATCAAAAACTTTGACATTTTGATCAAGTAAAATTGATTTGTGTTAGGATTTCATAAAAAAGTATCAAACTGCAGGGCCAGGGATTTAGCTCAGTGGTTCCGGCGTCTGCCTCGCAAGCGCAAGGTCCTGAGTTCGATCCCTGGTACCAAAAAAGAAAAAGAAAAAAGTATTAAACTGCAAAAACGTACTGCTGTTTATTGCAATTATTCTATTAATTATTCTATTAATGAAAATAAAATGTGAATTAAAAAACATTTATGAATATTAGGGAAGCTGTTGAAAATACTGAATGTCAGTAAGATTTAAAAAATTTTTTGACTCTGTCCCCCTTTTACTATGAATTGCTGTCAAATTAAAAATTGTAACACCTGGCTTACTCATATAATTTCCTTACTAAGTCACCTTTAGGTAGTTTCTTAGAAATCCTTTTTAACCATTTAGTTTATTATAAACCAAATCCTCTTTATGTTCCCTTTTAATTTGGCAACTTTATCCATTACCAAGCCTTGGGACATGTCACACCTCTTTTAGAAAATCTGTCTTATTCCCTTTTCCTGTCTCATTCAGCCTATCAGTTTTTCACACCAAGTCCCTTGCAGTTTTCTTGAATCATACAGGTAGGTCTAAATTTTTCCTTTGCTCATATTATTGTAATAATTAAAAATTACACAATGAAGAACTGTGTGTGAGATATAGCCAATACTCAGGAAATAAATGTGCTCCAAACTTGATTTATAAGTTACTTATTAAAGTGGATAATTCATTTGCACACAAAAATGCTAAATGTACTTAATGTGCTATGTTACATTTTGGATGATCAAAAATGTAGCTGAATCTATTACTGGTAACAATTTAAATTTTAAAAAGTGCACGCAGCTCAAAAACCAGATGTCAGACATATTGTACTTTTTTTTCTGTACCAGGGATTAAACTCAGGACCTTGCAATTTTGAGGCAGGTATGGTGCCACTGAGCTAAATCCCTGGACCAGATATACTGTATTCTTTTTACCTTCTTGGCAAATTATGTAGTGCTGGATAGGTAGTTGATATATGGTGCTCTCTCTGATTACTCATTGCTTTAAAACTAATCATCCCAGTTAAAACTAACCACCCTAAACCTTGCTGGCTTCAAATAATGACTACTTAGCTTGCTTACAATTTTCCACCCTGGGCTGAGCTCAGCTGTGGATTCTTTCATTTGTCTTGCTGCTGTACAATCTTTTTTTTTGGGGGGGGTGAATTCAGTTGCCAAGACAGCTGTGGGCAGTAGGGAAGTGAAGAGACACAGGCAACTCTCTCTGTCCACGTAGTCTCAGGGCCTCTCATTCTCCTTGGTGCTTGTCACGTGGCCTTTTTAGAAGTATAGCTGAACTTTTTGCCTGGAGGCTCAGGGCTTCCATGAAATCAGTGGAAGCTTACAGACTTTTTAAGGCTTGGGTATACACTAGTGCAGTGTTACTTTGACATGTTCTTTTGATTATGCACACCATTGATCCAGCCTAGATTCAAAGGGAGAAGACCACACAAGGGCTGACTACTAGAAAACTGGTTCACTGGGGGCAACCAAAGGAACAGTCTGCCAGAGGGCTTAATTAGTACTTATTGAGTTGGCTGCCAGTAATTTAAACAATGGATGATAATCTCTAATTGGTGGGCAGAGAATGAATTTAGCATTTTGGCAACATACAAAATTCAAGTAAATGGGAAATAAATGCTCTGGTGTATGTACAGAGTGTGATTTGGTTATTTTTTAGACAAATTTCTACTTTACCACAATTTAAGCTGTAACTCCTACCAACTGGAGTTAAATTGAGAAGTTTCCACTTTTTTCTGTGTTAGTTCCTGGTTTATAATGATGGCAAATACTTTCAAATAATATCCCACATATTTTCAATAAGCATTCAAAGCTCTAGTTTCTTCCCTATTCCCAAATATTTTTTGAAATTGACTTCAATTTCATAATTTTGTGTGACTTTAGAAAGCAATTTATTAGAATCACATAGAAAAATATAATTAATTAAAGCATCTAATGATCGTGTCAGGCTAATATTTAAATATACCACAATTATTTGTCATGTTTTATCCACAGTGTAAATATTAGTCTTAACAGCTTTTAATGAATAACTTCAGAGTGAAGTGGAAATTTGAATACCTTCTTCAAATTTTATTCTGTCCATACCTTCATATGAAAAAAAAAAGAAACTGTGCTGGTTGAGCATCTTTCTTTTGGTACTGAGGATCGAACTCGGGACCTTGTGCTTTTGAGGCAGGTGCCGGAACCACTGAGCTAAATCCTCACCCATGGTTGAGCATCTTTTGATTGCAAGGACCAGGCACTAGCTCAGGTAATCTAAATAATGTTAAATAGTCGAGATGAAGATACAAACTATAAATAAGTAAAATAAGACTTTCAAGGGATGTAAAGCTTGTTATAAAGAGACTACAACATAAATATATCCTGGAGATTAAAGTCTGAAAAACAGCTGTAGGAAGGAGATCTTGTCTATGTCTCCCAGAAAGTTGTCAGTTAATCACTGTTTTCTTTTCATACTTGCTTTTATTAAAGGTAAATTTTGAGGTCTACCCTACACAATTTTTATATTTCAATTTTTGCTTTTTCATATTCCTGGGTAATATTATCATTTGGAATGTTCAGTGACAAGGAGGATAAGGCATTTCTTAATGGTGCAAGATGCATAATATTAGTCTGTCCTCAGACAATGAATTCCTTGTGATAACTGAAAGTACCCCAGTATCTTGCCAGCCGTCTTAGAAGATCGCTGTTGCCCACACTCAAGGAATAACTGTATAAGGTAATATGAACTTTTATTTTCATCTCTGGCTAACATCTAGTTAGCTGTCATGGTATATAGCTGATGAACTTCACAAATATTGATTGAATTTTATAAGATATTTAATTGAGTAAAATATAGAGACCATAATTTTAATATAAAATCCAAAAAAAGTTCTTCTAGGGATTACTTAAACTAATTTAAAAACATGTCTATACAAACATCTGCAAGTCAAGCATATAAAAAAATGCTCACATTAGATATTAGAGAACTTCTAATCAAAACTCTGAGATTATCACTTCATATCTATTATAAAGCTACAATAAAAATCAATGATAATAAATATTGATAAGAATGTGGAGAAACTGAAACTCTCATACTTTGCTGTGGGAACATAAAATGCTGCAGTAGTTTTTGAAAACACTTCAGAACCTCCTCGAAAAGTTAAGCATAGTGATATCATATGACATAGAAGGAGTGTGTTTACACAAAAGTTTGTCCTTGAATGCTTACAGCAGCCTATTTTTAATGGCCAAAGAGTGGAAGCTATCCAAATGTCTATCAACTGATGACAAGAGAAATGAAGCGTGGTGTGTGTGTGTGTATATATATATATATATATAATGCAATGATATTCATATATACAAAAGAATGAGTATTGTTTGATACATAAACTTTGAAAATGGCTAGGCATGAATAAATCTTGAAAACATTATATTACGTTAAAGAAGCCAGATAAAAAGTGTAGATTCTCAGGGCCGGGGATTTAGCTCAGTGGTTTCGCCGCCTGCTGCGCAAGCTCAAGGATTCGAGTTCGATCCCCGATACCAAAAAAAAAAAAAGTGTAGATTCAATGATTCCATTCATATTAAATATAAAATGGGTAAAAACTAAAAAGGGTAGGCTAGTAGTTCCCACAAACTGGAGGCAAGATCGAGTAGGGGGTAGCTGCTAATGGTTACAGGGTTTCATATTGGGTGCTGTAAATATTCTAGAATTGGATAGTAAGGATGGTTATATACTATTTTCAGTACACAAAAAATCCTAAATGTATACTTTAAAAGGGTGAATTTTACATTATATAAATTATAGCTCAATAAAAACTTTCTAAAATGAGAAAGGTAAAAATCATTCAGGTACATGAATGTTTATAGATACTTTATATATAATTATCTCAAACTGGAAGGAACCAAGAAGGCAAAAGACTAAACAATCTGTCATTATCCATACTTTATCAGTCAGTGCTTACTAGAAAAACAGATTTAAGGCAAGATATACAAATATATAAGAGCTTACAAGATGGGCTTACAATGGCCACCCACAGAGTCAGTGTGGAAAGGTGCAAAAGGGCTGTCTGTACACTGGAGATCCTAAGGACCCAGGCGAAGGCCTGGAGCTCAATGTAGCGCCCTGTGGGAGTCCATATCAGAAGGCCAAAGGGTCTGCGATGGAAGACTGAAGGTCTGTGCTGCCAGCCAGGAGAGGATGTCCAAGGTGAAGGTCAGGACTGGAGCTGCACTGAAGGAACAGAAGGAGTCTTCCTTCTTCACTTCCATTACATAACATTCAGGACACATGCTGCCCTAACATGGGTCTGTTGTCTTCAGTAAGTCCCCTCAGCCACACTAAGAACTATGCTGACCCAATTTAGTTCTGTGTTTCTTACTCAAATTCACACAATCAGTTAACTTTCACACATACAATGAAATAATCTTCAAAAATAACAAGAAATGAACAGCTGGGTGAGGTAATGAACACCTATAATCCCAGTACTTGTGAAGCTCAGACAGGAGGATTACAAGAGGTTGAGGCCAGCCTGAGCTACATTGAAAGACCCTGGGTCATACAAGGAAACCAAACTAAATCAAAACAAAGTAAAAAAAGAAATAAAAACAATAAGCTATCAAGCCATCCAAAATATATATAACTCTTACCTGTAAGTGAAAAAAGTCAGTCTGAAAGACTCTGTAACAGTAATTTATCTCTGTGACGTTCTGGAAAAGGTAAATAGACCCATGGTTCACAGAGATTCCAAGAGAGAGCAGGTTTAAGTAGATAAAATATAAAGGACATTTTAGGGCAATGAAACTGTCTTATATATTTTTGTTGTGGATACATGGTATAAAGCATTTGTCATAGAATTTTATGGCACACAGAATAAAACAACATATGCAAATTAAAACAAGATTATTTAGGAGATCAAATATATCCAGTACAAAATGCAAACTGTGTCAAAAGAATCTAACTGCATTACCAATATGTGAATTAACCTCACTAAAGAGAGCGGGAGTGAGGAGGAATTCTGACTGAAAAAACTTTGGAAATTCATAGTCTGCAAAAAAGCATTGCATATTAAGTATTGTAGTATAGTTGTTAAAATTGCTTTCCATGGATTATGGGTTAACAATTCAGATGCTGCTATTCATGTACACTGTAACTGAGCAACTGGATGCTAGGTTTCTCCTTGCTGGAGTGGAAGATTACAGAAAAAACAAAGAGAGAAGGTTAGAATGATCAATGTGAGAACTGATTAGAGTAGGCAATACCAAAATGAACTCATACTTAATTTAATATACATATTATTTAATTTAATATACATATTTTTTCCATCAAAATTTAGAACTTTAAATGACATCATTAAAATGAAAAGTAGTCCTTAAACAGGCCATATTTACAATGCATATAACCTATGACCAGAATATATAAAGAATTCTTAGAGCTCATTAATAGACAACTCAATTAAAAAGTAGACACAAGAAGATGATAAATAGCCAGTACAGCAAAAGGAAAGGTGTGCAACTCTAGAATCAGAAAAATATTAATCAGTACAATAACAAGATTGAATTATACACTCATTAGGGAGATGAAAAAAGTTTTAAAAGCCTTGTCATGACTTTTTCTTTTTGTTGGATTCTCCCATTTTGCATTTAATTTGTCATGCCCAATGGATTCATTCTGCTGGGTTTTCTGGGGTTGTGATCCTCATTGTCTTTTCCTAGGGTATTGTCTAAAATTTTGTGGAGTGCTGGTTTGGTATTCATGAAGTTCCTGAGGTGCGCTTTATCATGAAAATATCTTATTTCTCCATCAATTTTGAAAGATAGTTTTGCAGAGTACATCAATCTGGGTTGGAGGCTGTTTTCCTTTAGGGCTTGAAATACATCACTCCAAGCTCTTCTTGCCTTGAGGGTTTGCATTGAGAAGTTTGCTGTGATTCTGACGGGCTTTCCTTTGTATGTGATTTGTTTCATTTCTCTCACTGCTTGTAGAATTTTGTTCTTCTGTTGGATTTATGGAATCCTAACTATTATATGCCTATGTGTAGATTTTTTTTTAATCAAGGCTATTTGGAGTTCTATATGCCTCACTTATCTGTATGTGAAGTTCTTTTCCCCTGCTTGGGAAGTTTTCTGCCATCACTTCTGTGAAGACTTTTTTGATGTCATCTGCACTCTCTCCTCTTTCTTCATTGACTCCAATCAGTCTTATGTTATTCTTCTTTGCATTGTCTAGCAGCTGCTGGATTGATTTCTCGTGTTCCCTTACAATTTTAAAGCAATTTTCCTTTTCCTGGTCACTAATTTCAATCTTATCTTCTATACGTGAAATTCTATCCTCACATTGGTTCATTCTGCTGTGCGGACTTTCAGTGGAGTTTTTAATCTCCTGGAAATCTGTTTGCATCTGTTTTATGGATTCCATTTGTTTCCTATGTTGGGATTCCATCATGTTCCTCAGGTCCTCTACTTTTTTATCTGTGTCCTCTCTAGATTTATTAATCATGTCTTGCACTATGAGCACAACCTTTGCTGTTATCTGAGTAATTATTTCTGGTTTCATTTTTCCCAGATCCTCTTTTGTTGCAGTTCAGAGAGTCCAAGTGGTTGAGACTGTTCCATCTCCTTTCCCTTTGGGGTTGCTGTAGGTGATCCAGAAGTCTGTTTTTGAGGCTTGTTTATGTGTCTTCTCATTTCCACGGGTGTGGGGGGGATGCTTCTGGTGCCCATGCAGCTCACCTTCTTTGCCCTATGAGTGTGGAATCGAGGCAGGGGAGCTTCCTTCTGGGTGCTGGACTGGCTCACCTTCTCCACCCTAGGATCATGGAATAGTGGCGGGGGAGCCTCTTCCTGGGCCCTAGGATTGGCTCACCTTCTCTGCCCTCTAACTTAATATACATATTACAGATTGAAACATATGGAAATATTTATTTGTATGCATAGAAGGGTTAGCATATACACATATGTGTTTGTGCTGTAAACTAAGAAAGCTTAGAAGACAACTCATAGCAATGAGCACACCCAGGTACCTGGATCTTAGTTTTGAATACTACTCACTAATAAAAGGAGCCAGGGCACCTTTGAGAAATATTTGATCCAGATCTTGGGCAGGGAGTACACAAGATGAGTTTGGGATCTGTTTTACTGCCAAAAAGTAAAGAAGTGCTAAAATACACAAGTGTGAATCCATATGCATACACATAATGATGGGTATGTCAAAGAAACATAACAGCCAAAGATCCTCCTGTGTCCAATGCTGGAATAATTTGAGGAAGAAAGTAGTATGGATTATAACTTAAAGAACAAGACAAATGTTCACCAGTTTATAGCAATATAAATAAATTAGTGAATAATAACTGGGAGAGGATACAGGGAGCTTCCATGAAGAAAAATTTCAAATATCTTTTGTATGTACTCAGTGCTTAAGAAGGTGGAGAATCACCCCCATTCTCTTTCCCTTCTGCATGTAGAAAGCCCACTTCTTTTTCAGAGCTTAGATTAAACCTCACTTCTTTTTATACACATCTCCATCTGTTCACCCTCCCTATTGTCATGGATTTTTCCCTTTTCTAAAAATTAAGTGTGGGCTTTCTGAAGTTACTTCATTTCCAAAAATACAGTGTGGAGAAAAATTGTAGGCTTGCAATGAAGAAACTTGGCAAACACTATCTTAGCCAAGTAATCAGTTTAATATCAACAATGAGAAATTGTGCTAATGGCATATACTCTTCCTATGATGCAATAAAATGAAATTTTATCTCTGAGGTCTTCCTTGCACAGTCATTAAACTAGAGTAATCATGAGAAAAACATGGAAAAAATCCAAAGTAAAAGACACTCTACAAAATGTTCCACTAGCACTCCTCAAACATACCTGATCAGTCCTTTCCAAAGATCATAAAAAATAAGGACAATCTGAGGAACAGACACAGCTAAAAGGAACCTAAAGAGAATATTCTGACAAAGTATAATGTGGCTTACAATTGGAATTATACAACAGTAAAATATTAGATGAAAATTACAGAAATGTAAAGAAAGTGTAAACTTTAGTTAATGATAACTGACCAATACTGGTTTTTGAATTTTGTATAGGCACTATACTAATGTAAAAATGTTATCACAACAGGAACTAGATGTGAGATATATAGGAATTCTCTGCACTATTGTTGAAATTTTTCCGTATAACTAAAACCATTCTAAAATTAAAGGTTTATTATAAATAGAGATCATCTAAGAACCATACAATGCCATTATTAGACTCTGATCCCTCTACTACATGCTATTTTATTTCTTGTCAGCAATCCTGCCCAGACAACATAGTACCTTAGAAGGCTGTAGCTCCAATGAAAGGCCAACTTTCTCTCAGTTTAACTATGGAAGATGCTTACCAAGATCCTCAAAGCAGTGAGTCATAGCACTCAGTCTTTTCAGAGACCCATGAAGCCCCCACACCTATGATCCTACATGTGCAGAAGACCTCTATTCTGTGTAACCCACACTCGTCTATTTCACTCCAGTCCTGCCCATTTCCACTGAAGACTGGGGACCAACCTCTCATCCCCAATACCTCCCATAGCTTAAGCTCTCTCTTTTTTTTTTTTTTGGTACTGGGGATCAAACTCAACCTTGTGCTTGTGAGGCAAGTGGTGGCACCACTGAACTAAATCCCTGGCCCAGAATAAGCTCTTTATTTTCCCTGCCCCAGTCTCTCTTGTAACATGGATGCATATCTTAAGAGTAACAACTTATTGGTTCAGAAAATTCTCCAATAAAATGACAAAGTAGACAGGGTGATTGAAAAATGACTCTTTAGAAATACAAGCTTTTTTCCCAGGAGCAGATGCACAGAGGGAGGAATACACATTCACAACTAGTGATCACCTTCCCTCAATGATAGACAAAATACTTCTAAAGCAACACACTGATACATGGGCAAACAAATAACAAATCAGCCTCCTACAACCACTCCCACTTCTAAAAATGCATATATATTTGGGGAAATCCTTAAATCTTCAAGTAAAATTTTAAGGGTTAGAAAAAGATTAGAATGAATATATA